TGTCTGAGATGATTTACATTTTTGTAGGATGTCGACGAGATCGCCGATAAACAGCGGAGTAAAGTGGAGAACTTGGCCAAATACGTCCATTTGCAGGAGGTAGGCACATTTCAAATTATTATTTCGGTCAGAAAATATTAACTATTTTACACCAAACCAGTGATAATATATTTAAATAAGTACCATTTATGTTTCTATCAAAAAGATTTAGGGAAAAAGATAATGTAAGTCCACTGCTGTTTATCTGAATTTGCAAGCCACAAATTGACGTTTAACTATGATTATTGCATGGCCATTTTCATGTGAAATATTAGTGCTAGGCATTTCACACTTACCAATGACCACCCCCAAAAGTACCATCTCTGAACCATGTAAGCACCTCAGAATAGCCAAAGCTTTTATGGTTTGGTAGATAGCAGTATGGCGAAAGCGTCGTTTTTGGGTGTGGTCAGTTTCGGACGTTTCGTCCCGGATTGGGGTTCGGGCAGCGTTACTATGTTGACCGTCATGGTCAACTTGCCCTAAAACAGTTGAGATTATCTGTCCTAAATGAAATGCATACAAACTCATATACAGGTCCTAGACTATTCATGGACAACGACATTCGCGAGCGAGGGGGAGGAGGTCTGCAGAGTCACCCACGGCTAATTGACGAAACCTTGTATAGGACCCCAAATGGCAACACGGACATGAAAAAAGCCAGAGAAATTGTAATTGCAATGTCAAATCCAGATTTTCATATATCTTTATCGCGGTGTTACAACACTAAAACACCAAAATTACAAGAAAAACACGTCACAAGCGAAAAGACATCACGATGGGAAAGGTATAAAATGCCAAAATCTCCTTTAGGCCGTAGGATGAGCATCCAAAAGATGCAATTCCGTTGCACCCCTCGTGTCACATGAATAAATAGATAAAAACGTACTTTATCAGAATCCGTTGCTCCCCAAGCGAAACAGGTGCACAATTGGGAGAAAAATCCCTCAAAAGTTTGATATTTTCGCGCTTCGAAATTCTCGAACCGCCATTATTTTGGTAGCAAATACGCATGCGCAACTCAGCCAAACTCGCACTGCGCACGCGCAGACTATAAAAATAGATTCTCACTGGGGAGTTTCCCCGATTTTCTCCGCAAAAACAACAAAATAAAATCAGGGAATACTGATAAACCTTGTAATATAAATGCACCCACATTAAATATTGTTAAAAACACATTGTATATTTTGCTTGCTCATATGCTAAATCACTTCAATTCATTGGCTATTGTTTTAAAATACCGTTTTAACGTTTTATTCTACTTTATATTAACATCCTAATTCAATACAAATTTGTGTGAGGTAAAAAACCCACCTGTATCAAACAGGACGAAGAAATAAAAATTATAGATACATACAATTCACACGATCAAGGAACAAATGAAATATTTCGCTAAACTTAAAGCCTTGGCCAAACGTAAGAAACAATGTCGCGGAAATATTCGTGATTTTTAATTGGCTTTTATTGCAGACGCAAAATTTGCTTCCCAGAAAGCAAATTATTTCCTACCAAATTCAGAAGCATTTTATGAAACACTCTTTATCTGTTTGCCGACGCTGATAAGACAATATGACATACCGAAAGATTGGAAAGACAAATAATATGACAACAGTGTTTCCCAGTTCATCCCGGGCTTTAAGGGATATTTATGTAAACTTGAAATTCATCATAAAAAAAAAGATAAATTGGGAGGAAATATAAAATCCATAATTTCATTATAGCTATCTATAATTGAAAGAAATGTTTTCATCTTTGAACCCAGATTTTCATCAGAGCAATAAAATCCCGCTTATTGGATCCTGGCCAAGGGCTTGCATGCTCAAAACGAGATTGCATGTATTCTGCAATAAGCTGTCCTGGCTTTTGTCTGGTAAAGTTCTACTTCTCGTATTTGAACTATTACATGTATCATATTTATATTGTGACATAAGTTGGTATTTAGCCACTATCTAGAATAACGAACGATACATCCTGGTTTTTCTTGTCCACACTAGTTGACTTTTTCTTATAGATTTAATACTGCTGTGCATTTCAGCTCCTCCACCAGGGTGCATTTTAGCTTCCCAGACATGACCATACTGTTACCCTGTCCATGAGAGGGATATATGTGTTGATAATATAAATACTGTGGATCCGATTGAGAATATCGAATAAGTAAATAAATACTGATCTACTCCACTGATAATATCTATGTGCATTACCACCATTGTTCACCTCAAATCATTAATAATTCATGAGCAAATTAGCCAACCATATTGCTTTATTTTGCTCACATGATAATACTAGATGAAGTATATTGATCCTGTAGTGTCCTAGGACTGGATTAAAATTAATTCAGTCCTTGAACTGGATCAAAATTAATTAAGTAGTGATTTATTCGTATGGATGCCATTTCAAATCCTCCAATTCGGACTGGACTAGATTTCAAGACCTCACATTTTGATCCAGTCCTCTGCTTCGCCTCGGACGTGATCAAATTGTGTGGACTTGAAATCTAGTCTAGTCCTGACCTCATAGTCGGATTTGAAATATTATCCCTTGTCAAATCAGATGCCAATGGTGGCCAAGGAAGATTCAGTTTTGGTATTTCTTGCACCTTTTGGTGAAGAATCAATGCAACATTGTATAGAATTTGTAACTCATTGACTTTAGAATTTCCCTCAGTTTTTGTGTTGGAATTCACATCTTCATAATCAATGGTACAGCTCTCTTCATCAAAGTCCTCATCATTGTTTTCACACTTAGGGCCTGTTTATATGGAAGCCGGAACCGAAACAGCCTGGTAAGCAAGATCTTGCTGTGTAGTTATTTTTATAGTAAAAATTATTGTGCGTTTATATGGACAAGCGGGCTGGCCTGGTTGCCGAGATCTCATTTGAAAGAGGCTAGATCTTGCTTACCGGGATGGAAATTTCTCCATATAAACATTTACAAGCGGCTATCCCGGTTGCCGGGATGAAAGTTCAAAGATACTGCCCCATTTTAATTTTAACAACTGTCAAAACAATACAATGTAACAAAATCGTCCCGGCAAGCGGGATGAAAGTTTCTCATATAAACACAAGAGAAATTCATCCCGCTTACCGGGCTGTCTCGCTAAGCAGGCCAGCCCGACTTCCATATAAACAGGCCTAGGCCCTTAATTGACATATGTTCCTCAACCAATTCAGAAGAATCCAAATTTTCCACATATACAATCTCACTAACATTTCTCATTTTCGGTACACAGAACACAAGTTGGGGATAACTTTTCATCATTCATTGCTTGAGCTTAAAAGCTCTATATTTAGATGCATCCACATTCTCAGTGTCCTTAGCAATGATAACAAATTTCTCCAGCAAATCTTTCATTTCATATAATTTATTTGCTTATTTCCGATGACCTCCATCTCAATTACTTTTTTACAGAATACATCATAAGACTTCTCGTACACTGATGCTCTTGTTGCTTCTTCGTCTCTCTGATGAGAAATATTGTATAATTGCAGTAGCAAACTTTGTGATAGCGGATTTCCAGAGCTACAGTCTTTCCCCTGGATTTGCACGAGTATCCATTGATCATTCTTTCTCTCGGCAGCTGTACGTAGAAGACCAGCATCAATTGTTTCTGCCAACATGAGTGGGGTTCTTCTTCTCTTCTTAGTTGCCTGGTGTGAAACAAAATATTGTCTCAGGGGCGTAGGAAGCGGGGGGGGCCGCGCCCCCCCCAAAAAAATTTATAAGGGGGGCCGAGATAGCTTTCGGCCCCCCCAAAGATCATTGAATTTACTCAATTTACAATAAATGCAGTGAAATTCGAAACTGAAATGGCTAAATAGGGCTCTGAAATGGCCATTTCCAAGGATCTAGAGCCCAATCTCGAAATATGTGTTCCTACGCCCCTGTATTGTCTGAAAATAATAACAAGGTTGGATGTTTGTAGCATAGAAACTACTTTACCCTAAGTAAACTTAATTGATCACAATTCAATATATTCTAAAACCAAACCTGATGATGATAATGATGATGATAAACCTGATGATCATGGTTCCATTCTAAGTTAATGGTATCAGGGTTCTTCTCCATGTATGAATTGACAGATCCGTCATCGATGTCTCGTACAATTTCTTAGCTATTTCAGCTTGTTGACATTTAAGTTTGGCCCATTTTGACCTACACTCAAGAAATTTCTTAATCCTTTGGCGTGTAACTTTGCAAAGTTGCTCCGTAACGCCATAAAAATGCATAAAACATGAGGATATTCGAGTTTTATAAATATCTTCAGCCATGTTTATTTGCATAACTGAGCGTGTTTCCACTTCGAAGCATGTGCGTTGGTTGTGCGCGTGCGCAGTGCGAGTTTGGATGAGTTGCGCATGCGTATTTGCTATCAAAACAATGGCGGTTCGAATATTTCGAAGCGCGAAAATATCAAACTTTGGAGGGATTTTTCTCCCAATTGTGCACCTGTTTCGCTTGGGGAGCAACGGATTCTGATAAAGTAAGTTTTTATCTATTTATTCATGTGAAAATTACGTAGTTACACGAGGGGTGCAACGGAATCCGTTTTCTAAGCATCTTTTGGATGCTCATCCTACGGCCTACTTGTATAATCCGCCTCGCGTTGGTGTTGACAAAACCAACGAAAACAAGGAAACATGCATCCAAAACCAACGAAAACATGGAAACAAAGAGATGGAATTCTTCCTGACCACGATTGGGAACAAGGGCGAACAAACGTAGTCACACCAATGGCACATTTGTTTATAGAAAGCCGGAGTGTCATCGAAAGGCCAATATCCTGAAGCGAAGAACTTATCTTACCCATGATGAATAGTTCAAGTGCAGTTGCCGTTACACGGACTGGTAAAGCGGTGAATTTAGTTTATCTTTCCTATTATGAACCAGAAACAGTTTTTTGTTGCTTTAATGAATTGTTTCTTCTGACTGAACCGTCATTAGACAGTTATTCCAGAAATCCTAAAACAGGACACCTTAAACAAACGTTCTGCTTTGTTGTCGACAATGGACAATCCGAACAACCTTCAAGCAGTCTTGTTCAAATGACACTTGTCCGTTTTTGTAAATTTTTGAATTTGGAAAAGGTGATTCAGGTGTCTTTTTTTTAATACTAAAGTAAATGCAACTTCGTCGAAAGAGTTGTCAAACAAAGAACTGTCGGTTCATGGAGCGTTTTCTAGTCAGGGTAAACATGAAGGATTTCAAGAACCTGGTTGTCTGAAACATAAAGAGAACATGGAACACATGGCAAACGCAGTAATCGATTGTTTGAAGGGAGCAAATTTTGGAGGACGGTGCCTTGACGTATATCGTGGTCCACGCGAAGATCAGTGGGTTTTTAATGACGAGAAAAAACTGAAGGATTTTTTATCATTTACTGAATATAATAAGGAAGTATCAGGAATGTCATATGAAGTACAGGAAACGCCGTTATTAAGGTCTTTAGAAGCTGTTTGGAACATCGACGAAAAGTTTAGAGGAAACTACTGGGATGACTATGCCGCACTCTATGGTGAAGACAAGAAAACAGTTTACCGTGACAAATGTACAACAATTGTCTTTGGACAGGGTGCAAATGAGAGTGGGTATGAACACAAAGGAATACATCGACAGTCCATTCCCGATTATATTCGCTGGCTGTCTACCAATGGAGAGTTGCATTACCTTCCTTACAATTTAAGGTCGACTTTTCCAGTTGGTGTGCGGGATTCTGTTGCAGGATGCTTTATGCCAAGTAACTGCATATATCTAGCTTATATGTTGATGACCAAGCCGACGGGGAGATTGTTGAAAACGATTGCTTTATTGGCATGGGTACCAGAAGATGACGTGGTAAAATATGTTGATAACAAAGATAAGCAGCTTCATGAAAATAAAAGCCACGGATTTCAGCGACTGAAATGGAAACAACATGAGCTTTATAAAAAGAAGAAAGACGACTTAGTAAAAATGAACAACATGAGCTTTATAAAAAGAAGAAAGACGACTTAGTAAAAATGTGCTCTGAGAAAAAAATAGTTGAAACCAACAGAAAGAAATATGAACCTGTGGAAAGATTAGCTTTGGCAGACGGAGAAAAACCACCACCAGAAATTGACCATTATAATGGTACGAAACCACTCCCGAAAACGACAAAAGAAATTGCAAATTTCTCCGCGTGCTACCTTCAGTCAGTATTAAAGTGGCACTGCATGGCTTCATGTGGCACCAAAGAGGAACTAATCTTACGAACAACGCTCATTGCCAATAACAGGAAATATTTGTGTTTCAACAGAGAAAGGAAAATGTTCTTAGACATGATTTCGATGGCACAATCACTTCTTTTCGAAGAGAAAAGACAAAGTTTGTTACCTGGATATGCCCCAATCTACAGTCGCAGGAATTACCAAATACCAACGAGTACAACTATCTCGTCAGATCGGCCAAGGTATAACGCATCCGCGCAAACACAGTGGTCTGGAAAATCGCGTGTAGATGTACCGGAAGATATCTCATTGGTTGAAACATTAATCGAACTGTTTCATGATCTTCAAAGCCACATCCAACAATCAAGATCTGAAATGGAAACTCAGACTGTCAATAATGAACAAAGAGGTACATGTAACAGTAACGAAGAAGCATTCTTGAAAGAAGGGGTTAGGGTGAGTAGAAAAAATTCTTATATGATAGCTAGGAGAACGTTTTTGTGACTAAAGCTGGTCTTTCAAAACCATTTTATTTTGATAAAAAGTCAGTTGTATTCCATTGCAAATGTAGTGCAATAAATCTCTACTACTTTACAATGACCACTAATGTTCTAAGCCTTTAAGTTAAGATATACTGGAGTGAAGAAGATGTAGAAGAATCTGGCTGGTACCAGGGGCAGTGCATGGCGGTGGTAAAAAAAGTTATCAGTTATGCCGAAGCAAAAGGGACCTATGTTGTAGAACAATTGGAATGCTACGAAGTTAACGTGAAACAGCTTTTGAATGAGAAGTTGTTGACGCTATATGATGGAAATGAACTTGAACAATTTCATGAAATAGGAAGCTACAATTAAAGTTAAGTGGACGCAGGAGGAAATTGGTGACTCGAATTGGACACCAATTATTATTTATTATTTATTGGTTGGTTTTTATTAATTATTATTAATTATTAATTATTATTAATTATTTATTGGTTTATTAATAATTATTATTAATTATTTAATTGATTTTATTATTATTAATTATTTATTTAATTATTTATTGGTTACCAAAAATTGAGCGTAGTGTAAACGGGGCTTGAATTTATAAAAATAAAGCCTGATTGTAGGTTAAAAATGACTGTAAGTTATACAGGGTGTATAAAAAAAAACTGAACAGATTTGAAATTGCTCTCAATTTCGCAAAATAGCTATTAGTATCCAGTTTTCGAATATATGGCTTCTTTGGGTACTTATAATGTAGAATAATGAAAAAAAAATTGTAAACCAGGGGGGGTGGGTGTTTTTTCCGACAAACTAAAAATGGCTTGCGCACACGATTTAAAAGCTATAATCGTATTTTGAGTTAATGGATGAAAAATATGTTGGGTGTTTAATTGCTGCACGAAATTTCAGACAATTTGCTTCAGTTTAAGCCCTTCAACTATCCACGCAAACTTACATTTATTAGGTAAAGGCATTAATTAAGAATGTGAAAGGCTGATTTTTTAGGAAAAAAATGGATAGTTAAAGGGCTTAAACTACAGCAAATTGTCTGAAATTTTGTACAGTAATTAAGAGTGATTGTCAGCAAAAATCGAACATTGGGCGGCAAGGGTTGATAAATCGATTCCGCTCATATTTTAACTATATATAGGCCCTAATGTAACAAACACCACTGTGTAGTTTGTTTGGTGAAATTCGGCTTAGTATTCGGGAAAATCGAAAAAAATACTTTCCGAATTAAATTCGCTATTTTTGAGCCTATAATTTAGGTTAACTTCAACAGCTTCTCGGGACAAAACAAAATAACCCAGCGCTGTAGTATTCTCACACGAAGTTAATTGCTATCTTAATATACAACAGGTAGAGTTTCAGACATTATCGTTCGGGTTTTTTATTTTTATTGCAGTTCTTTTTGGAATACATAGGAAGCCTCCCTCAAAATAGGTTCAAAGTAAACTAATTTTTTTCCATGTGCGACGAAATTTTTTTATTATAAAACAACCCACAATCGCCTTTAAATGGTGTATTTTGTGAATCGTTTAAAATTTTCTTGGGGAAATTATTCTGCGTGATGCAACGCATCCCCAAAGTTGTAAGAAATTTACAAATTTTGCATGTCGGCAAGATCAATCAATTTATATATTGTGTACATATGTACTATGTAGCGTTTATAAAAGCGGCTCAGTGTTTGTATTTTAAATTAAGAACAAAGTGAATGTTCTTCATCGTAAAAGGAACTGACTAATCACAAATTATATTAAATTCCCTTTTTAAAACCCATCGATTGACCCATATACTATATAGTCTTCACTAGTAAGTGCATAATATTGGTGTCTATTTCTGTCCAAAACTCGCATTTCGTACGAGTTAATTCGACAAAACAAATATCATAATTCACTGAAATTTTCGAAATTTCCTGTCCTTTTCTGTCGCCCGTCTTTTGGGCTTAACGTTTGCAACACGGCCATGCATGGATACCTTAAAACAGCAATATTGCCATCAGCGTCGTGAATTTCAAAGCAGTTACTTATTACCTTATTACTGTATTAAATATACATGTACAGTAGATGAAATTGGCAACTATCCGTCTGTGTTTAATATTACGTAAACCTGTAACGTACGGCCATATAGCCTGCGTAAAAAAACATGAAAGTGTTTTAGTTTCTGGGTCGATAGAAGTCTTGTTTTACCACAGGTTTTACAAAGCCGTTTTTTGTAAACAAACGTAAAGAAATAAACTAAAGAGTAAAGTCAAAAAACAAAACACCGCCAGCGGGTTAAATTTTAACCCAGGGTTGGCCGCTATTAACAATCGACCTGTATTGTTTACACTATAAAAATTTATCTGAAGACTGCGTGATAAAACTTTATATAGATTCGGCCAGATATATAATTATATAAATGGAGATTTCTTGCTCGATAAAGGAGATTATTGGTGGCACTTGTGGATACGATAGAAAAGATAGAACACAAAGCACTGTATAGTTATTCCTTTACAAGCTTGTAACAAGGAAATCGTGGCACATAAATCAACATTTCAATTTTCTGGCATCGAAAGCGAGGTAGAACTGATTCTTAGCCGAGCAGGCATATTTATTTCGCCGGAAAATATCCGTTGTTGGACAATTTGCCCGCTACATCGATCCAAACTTGGCCTGGGGTGGAGCAGAGGCAATAATGCAAGGTGTAGGGTACCCGCTGCACTGTCAAGTCACAGGCAAGCAAACGGAAAGTGGCCAAAGTGCGATAGAGGAATAAATAAGGACGATTCGCAGTTAATATTAAAGATGACTGGTATATTTTTGCAGGTTGGTTCAGGTAAGAGTGGTTGAATAGTTTCAAGTTGATTTCTGTTGATAACATAATTACTAGCTTGATTCTTGAATTTTCTATGTGTTGTTTTATCCAGGTATTTGTTCAACATGTCGTAAGAAGTTAAGAGCATTAGTGCTAACCAGTCCGCATAAGCAGAGAGTGTTATCGATCAAATGGATGCGTTAACACTGGTAAGTTTGAATTATGTTATTTGTATTGCGTGTCGAATTTTATACCTGAAACTCTATCTTCAGTTTTCGTGGGAAACGGCGGGAAATGAAAGCTTAAGCGTCCCAGCCAATGCTAGTGATTGCAATGGTTTTCAAATCTTTCAATCAGTGCTTCCATTTTTAAAATCAAAATTTCTCATTTTTATCATCAAAATTTCTCTAAATTCCTTAGATTGTATATGTTATTTCCTTGAAAATTCCTTGAAATTTCATGAAGCAGTTTGCAGTGATTTTGTACCAATACAAAGGATTTAATTAATTTTCAAGGCACAAAATAGCACAATTAACAAAGATATGGGCTAGCTAAAAAAACCCACAGGCTATTAAATATTTGTTATGAATTTTAGAATTTACAAGAGATACCTGTACATTTTTGGCACAGTTTGGCGCCAAAAGTTACTAAATCGCATCGCTCAAAAACGTTCGGAAATTTTCAGAAACACGAGGAAGAGGGTCTTGAAGTGGGGGGGGGGGGGG